AGACTGGAGTGCAGTGGCCGCTCCCGGCCACCACAGCCTCGACCTGTTGGGCTCCGGCGATCCTTCCACCTCAGCCTTGCGAGTAGCCGGAATTACAGGCATGCACTACCACGTCCAGTTGATTTTTAAATTTTATTGTAGAGATGAGGTCTCGCTGCCCAGGCGGGTCTCGAACCCGTGGGCTCAGGCAATCCACTCACCTCAGCCTCCCAAAGGGGCGGGATTACAGGCTGAGCCACCAAGTCGGCTTCTTCCACTGCTCTTGAAGGGGAGATTGCATTAGCATCACAGAATGGCCGATCTCTACATTGTCTGTCGTTCCTCTCCTTTGCATTTTCTAGGGCAGTAGTTTTCAGGCAAAGCTTAGGATATGCAGTCTTTCCTGGAAAAGAAAGTGTCAGTTTGCACCCTCTTCCTGCACTGCATTGCTTAAGCATGGGTAGCACACATACTACAACTTCTATCCTGGTGAAAATAGATAAATTCAATTATTGCTTTGCAAAGAAGAGATATTCACTTTGAAAGGGTGGTGTGTGTGTTTGTGTGTGTGTGTGTAGTGAAGGAGATCAGCCTGAATCTCTTGGGTATCTATCTATCTGTTCACTGGGACCTCATCCTCCTAAAGAAAACATAACCTATGGGAAGAGGGAGTTAGGGATAAAAATTGAGTTAATAGAACCTGAACAAAGAGATATCCTAAGTATAATATGATCTGCGCCATTCAGATTGTCCTTAAACAGAAAGAGATGTTTCACTACTGCTATATTGGTTATGAGGAGTTCCGCTTTGGTGTTGCTACTATGAAGTGTGAGGCGAATGGGATGAGGAAAGCCTTCTTTCCACTTGAGCTCAGAACACAGTTGGACAGCTCGGCTGCACATTAGGGCTGGATCTGAAGTTGCCTCACCCTCCTATGGCCTTTGTGGGATGCCAATATATGGGCCACCCTTGTGGTGGTGCTTGAAAAAGATGGACTGGGATAGAGGAGGAAAATGAAAAACATCATGAGATAAGCAAAAGAGCCTTTCTGAGACCATCTCTGGGGACACCGAGGAGTAACACCAGGGTGAGGCAGGCATTGCAGGCAGCTGAGGATGCTTCTCTAACAGGTAGAAACAAAGATCTGTGAAATGCAGATACTACTGTTAAGACATGGACTGTTAAGCTATGTGTGAAATATGTTAGTAAGCTTAGGCCAGGTGCAGACAAGTCTGTGGTTTTTATTTATTTATTTTTTTGAGTTGGAGTCTTACTCTGTTGCCCAGGCTGGAGTGCAGTGGTATATTCATGGCCACTGCAGCTGCCACCTGCTGGGCTCAGGCTATCCTTTTGACTCAGTCTCCCAAGTAGCTGGAACAACAGGTGTGTGCCACCATGCCGGGCTAATTTTTTGATTTAGTGTAGAGATGAGGTCTCGCCAAGTTGCCCAGGCTGGTCTCGAACCCCTGAGCTCAGGCAATCCTCTGGCCTCCAGTGCTGGGATTACAGGCATGAGCCACTGCATCCAGCAAGTATGAGTTTCTTAACCTTCCTGAGCTTTAGTTTCTTTAGAAGAAAAATGAGGGAAAGTAATATTTGCCTTGCAGTGCTGTTTTGAGGTTTAGAGATAATAAACTTTAGGAGCTTAGCACAGTATAGGTACTTTAATGAAGGTGGTTATTTTTATTGTTATTTGTACTGCATTGACACCAAAAAGTAAAGGTCATATTTAGTTTATGTCTGAATTCCTGGTATATGGTTCAGCTCTTGACCACACTCACCTTCATGTATTCACCTGTATGGATGAATACCTAGACATACAGGGGGCTTATAGGTAGGAAGCACCTGGCCTTCTTGTGAATGTACTTTCCTAGGAGCTGGGGAACTGCAAAGTGTGTTACTTCCCTTTCCCCAGAGGATGCCAGGTTTGGACCTTGTGGCCTGCTGCCCAGGGCTCTCCTAGTGTGCTGCTGCACAGAGCCTGAGCAGAGCGAGCAGATAGTCTTGTTCTGGTGTTTTCATCTTTGCCACTGGTTCAGAGAAACCACAAATATCTTCCAAGGTATTTTTGACTCCCTGAATGCATGACTTCATTTTATCTTTTAGGGTCCAACTGGTTCAATCTGAAAGAAGCTTCTGGGGATTCTTTTCTGTCCAACCACATCAGTTATGCAGATACAGTCAAATTAGACCAAATCAGCAGTCAAGCACTGCATAGCCTTGGGACAAAACTGGGCTTGATTGTGTGTATTTGTGTGTGTGTGTGTGTGTGTGTGTGTGTGTGTGTGTGTGCGCGCGCACGCGTGTGCGCAAGCGTGCAGAGTTGGGGTGAATGTGTTGAAAGTCTATGACCTAAAGGAGAACAAGAACAACTATGGCCATTGGCATCCTTACATTTGCCACAGCCCACAGGGACCTCAATTTTCCTAGCTCTCAAAATAAAAGCAGATGGAGAATAATGATCCAAAATTTGTGATTGCTGCCAGATTTTTACCCTTTAAAAATTATTCCCCCACAAAATGCAACCCTCCATAAAGTTGCATTCACACAATGCTGTGTCCTCATGCACCCCTACATAGTTCATTCTCTATATATCTCTAATTCCTGGAAACACTGGTTTTGTTTTTTGAGAAATAAACTAAAACATTTATGTGCTCAAATTTTCATCTGATCAATATGCAATTTTTAAGCTTATAGTATAATACATTGAACATAAAAAATGCAATTGGATATATTGACTTCATCGCTTTTTAGAGTATGGAAAAACTGATGAGGCAGGCAAGATACTACCTCAACATACATTCTCTTTCTAGAATTCCTGTCTCTTTGATTGACTGCTGTTGTTTTGAAGTTTTTATGTCTATGACACGGCATAGAGGGTGCCCTTTTTAAAGACACCAATTTGTAATTTGACGTCCCCAGATCATTTAAGACTAAGTGCACTAGCACCTCATGTATTGGAGAGAAAATAATGAATTAAAAATTTGAAATTATCTTTGAAAGGCAAGAATAATTTTGCAGGGTCTTAGCTCTGTGATCACCAGATGAAAACTGATTACATAAGTCTGCACCAGCTAATGCCTTCACTCAGTGTTTTGGGTCTTTTTTTTTTTCAACGTAAAGTTTTAAAAATGAGGTGCTATTGAATTTTTGAGAAACCATAAATGTAATGTTACTGAAAAATGCACTTCCTGTGTAATTCTCAGGGAGAATGAGAAAATTCCCCCATTGTGCTCGAGAGGCAGCTTTTTTTGGAGATCAAGATTCATCAGAGCAGTCATTCATTGACTGACCACTGTTAGACTCAAGGCTGGGTATTTGGAACATACAGTTTTTGCCCCAAAAGATGACAGTCCAGTGAGGATAGCCAGGCAGAAGAATCATTTATCACAGTCTGTGCAATAAATGCAAACAGCGTTTCAGCAGCAGCATGAAGGAGGATTCTAATGAGGGTGCTTGTCAAATCAAGACCAGATCATGTCTCCAGAGGTTCAAGGTTTCTTTCAGCCCTTTCAGTCCCTATAAAGAAAAATAAGAATTAAAAACTAGTTTAAAAACGGAATCTAAGGAAATAGATTTTCTAAAGGGAGATTGTACATTTTGTCAGATAAAGGTACTTAGAAGCGAGGTGGCTTTAGTGATGAGGTGTTTGGTAGTTAAATGTCACAGATTGGGAAGGATTGCTTGGGGGGGGTTCAGAATTCTTAGGCGATAACCTCACTTTTCCATTCCCTCATTTTACACATCATTTCTCCTCACCTGGACTTCTGTTCCCATCTGTGTATGAGGGTCTGGATGAGGTCCTGTGTCTCTGAAAGGTTTTATAAGAATGTGAACTGCAGGACTCAAGACATCCCTTCATCCTTTGGGAAAATTTTTCTTCTCAGTATCTAACTTACCAAAATTTGTTTCTAACTGCATCTATTTTGAGAACAATGCAGTTATCTAAATAATTCTATGGGAATGAAATAAATTGTATTAATTATCCAGGTTAGTGACTTTAAGCTTTTTTGGGTTCAGGAGTTCCCGCCCCTTTTTTTAAAATATGATGAAACTGTGACCGCTCCAGGAAAAACAGCAAAAAATGTGTTCTTACAAGAACACATGAGAGGAAATACTGAGGACGTCAAAGACTTTATTAAAAAAAAAAAAAAAAAAAAAAAAAAGAACACATGGCACATTTTACATGTAATTCATGAGGATAGATGAAGTCTTAGACAGTTCCGCCAGGACCAGAGACTGTATTTGAAACATCCGTTCTCAGATATGGTTATTGTAAATTATTTTAAGGTATGAGTTGTCCAGAAATGTGAAGTGCAGGTCTACATCCCAGAAGATACATAAGATGATCCACTAGGGTGTGACAAGGACATATTAGGACTTCCAATACCATTTATTATATATTTTGAAAAAACGAGAAAGAAATTAAGCTTTACAAATCTGTAGGACATAAGTTATCACAGAGGACTTCAAAGAAGCCACTTTTCTGAGCCCATGATATGTTCCACAGGGTATGTAAGGTCCACGAGGGAAGAGCAGGACCAGCACCCTTGCTGGTTCAATCACTTGTCAGTAACTTGCAGTATGTAGCAGTTTGCTTGTGATAGAATAAATCGGTGTGGGGGATGCTATGAAGACAATGCCTTTGCATAATATTTACAACATTTTGCACTGAGAGGTGAGTAGACATTTTATTATCTTGTATCATACAGATGATTTAAGATTTATTTCTGGTCAATAACTTGCAAGTCTTTTAGAATTTGAAGATACTAAAAAAAAATAACAACAGAACATATATTCCAAATGTCTTAACCTTCTCCTGAAATGACAAGTGATGGCAATATGTTACCCAGCTTATGTATATATTTAATTTGTCCTTTTGGGGTAATATGATGTTTAAAAAGTGAGGTAAATGGCTGATTTTTGAAAGAAAATTTTTATGAGAAGAGAACATTTTGGATATGTTGCAATTGTTTTGGTGGTTTTGTTGCTTAAATTAATGAATCACTTTAAAGAAGATTATGCCGGGAGCTGCGCCGGGCCGGGAGCGCCATGGCAGCGTCCTCGCGCCCAGCCGGGACGGATGCGGGCGCGCTGCCCAGTCCTGCGGTGGGTCTGCCGCGCGGCTCTTGACCCTGGCTGCTGGGAGGCTGAATATCTCCTTCCCGGCCACCGGCTGCCAGAAACTCATCGCAGTGGACGATGAATGCAAGCTCCGTAGCTTCTACGAGAAGCGTACGGTCACGGAAGTTTCTGCGGACTCCCTGGGTGACGAGTGGAAGGGTTGCGTGGTCCAAATCAGTGGCGGGAACGATAAACAAGGTTTCCCCATGAAGCAGGGTGTCTTGACCCATGGCCGTGTCCGCCTGCTGCTGAGTAAGGGGCATTCCTCTTACAGACCAAGGAGAACTGGAGAAAGAAAGCGCAAATCTGTCCGGGGTTGCATTGTGGATGCCAATCTGAGCGTTTTCAACTTGGTTATTGTAATAAAAGGAGAGAAGGATATTCCTGGGCTGTCTGACCCCACGGTGCCTCGTCGACTGGGGCCCAAAAGGGCTAGCAGGATCCGCAAACTCTTCAATCTCTCTAAAGAAGATGTCCGCCAGTCTGTTGTAAGAAAGCCCCTAAACAAAGAAGGTAAGAAACCTAGGACCAAAGCACCCAAGATTCAGCGACTTGTCACTCCACGTGTCCTGCACCACAAACGCCGGTGTATTGCTCTGAAACAACAGCGTACTAAGAAAAATAAGGAAGAGGCCGCAGAATATGCTAAACTTTTGGCCGAGAGAATGAAGGAGGACAAAGAAAAACGCCAGGAGCAGATTGCCAAGAGGCGCAGACTGTCCTCTCTGCGAGCTTCTACTTCCAAGTCTGAGTCTAGTCAAAAATGAGATTTTCTTGAGTAACAAATAAATAAGATCAGGAAAAAAAAGGTTTATGCCTGTTCACTTAAAAAATAAGGGAAAACTTGGCAGCAGAATTAACTACCAAGTTAAAACTTACCCAGCTCAAGAGTTTGAAAGTAGAGTTTGAGTTCATTTGTTTTTTACACACTCGCACGCACAAAGGTACAAAGGCATGTATACACATGTTTGCTATAGCTGCTGATTTACATTGGTAGTTATTTTACTAAAATCTTTGTATAATCTGTGGAAAGGATTGGGATATAATTGACATAATTTATTAAGAACATACAATGATGCACTTCTTTGTTTTGCATATTTTTTTCTTTTGAGGCATCTTTTTCCATCTATGGCAACCCTTGAAGCCAAAGATTGAAATACATCAAAATTAAAATCAGCTTTTTAAATTTCCATGTGAAAAATATAAACCAAGGTTTTAAAAAAATCATACAGCTTATTTGATTATATATTCTCTAAAATGTTTATATATTGTCTTTTATATTATAAAGTTTATTTGATTATATGTGCTCTAAAATGTTTGCATATTGTATTTTAATTCTATTAATAAATAAAATAAAAAATTCAACCTGCCTTATTTCATCTTTTGTTCATTTAAAAATATTCCAGTTTTGATTGCTCATTGAACATCTATAATGGCAATGCCTATCATCTTTTATATCATATATTTATATCAGCATGGATTTGCAAATATATAGACACGATTTATAAATAAGTAGATTTTCATGCTTTGAAGAGTTAGTGATTAAAATGTTCTTTTTATTCTGATAGGGAGGATTGTCAAAAATATTTAGTGTCTACTGATTTAGGCCATTGTTTAGTGGCAGTAGGAAACTTTCAGGATTATGCAGGCTTTTAGGAGCTACATTCAAACTATTGGGTTAACTCCACCCATCTGCAATGATAGATTCTCAGAATAACAAATTCCCAGTTCTCTCAGGCACACAAAAATAGAGTTGCAACAATAAAGCGTGTGAGGAGTTGTGTGTGTGTGCGTGTGTGTGTGTGTTTACGGTGCAAGAGAAAGGAGTGGTCTTTGAAAGTCAAAGATTCATTTGTGTCTGGGTTGCTGTGTAGTACAGTAGAATGTGCCTTGATGTGGGTCCTTAGGCCCAATTCCCCATAGATATTTTTGTCTCACCAGTGACTTTGGAATTCATTTGATTTTTCAAATGATGTCTTTAAATTGTTCCAAGCCTCCCTCATGGGTTTGCTGGTAGAAGAGGAAAAAAATCATGTAAAGTAGTTTATAAACTCTAAAGTGTTGTACACATGTTTGGGACTATATTTTTTAAAAACGATCTTATTAAATTTATATTTTCCCTTCTTTTCTGGTTGGAGTTCACTTTTCTAAACATATACCCCAGTGTGTCACATGGAGAAGACTTCTTTGTATTCTTGTCATAATCTTTGTCTAAGTGACAAGATGTATTGTGGTTTGACACAATGCATACCTAGTATTATCTGAGATAGTAATACATTAATTCTTGTGGCATGCTTCATGTACTTACTTCAGAAGCTTCCCATGAAGCCTTGGGTTGGGAAACAACTTTTGTATCTTCTGTGGCATCTAGTATGCCATGCTCCAGGTTAAGCAGATAATTATTAAGATGACCTGTACTGTACCTGATTGTCTCAGAGAGTGATTACTTAGCAATTAACTCAATGGACACACCAGACCCTCCCAAGGCCAGAATGGACCCTTTGGGGGCACTTCTGTCTCCCTATCAACATAATCACACCAGAAGGCAGGTATTTTTGGCTCTAGTTTATAGATGAGAACACTGAAGTATAGAGACTAATTTTTCAGCCAAGTACTTCAAATTTAGCTGCTGTTATATGATATACAGTAAATACATAGAATGCACATTTATATGAATATACCTAAAAAAATCAAGCATCATTTTCTATATATCAATAGTCTTGGTTTCCTCTGTTGCCTTAACTATTATTCTTATCCAAAGATCTCTGGACATTTTTCACATCTTTCTTCTAACAGTATGTAGTCCAGCTAATTAGTAATCAGATACAAAGTGGCAAAGACTGGAGAAAAATTGTTTATTCCTAAATATGTTTGATCCTTCTGAGAGACTCTAGCAAAGAGAAACATATTTCTTGTGCAGATATGAGGTCTATATGGCTTTTTTGTTTTCTTTCTTTTTAAATTTCCAGCCATATTCCAGGGCCATTTTCTACTGAGCTCCTGCCAAGCTATGGTTATTCCCCTGGAAATCACTTCTTTGCTTTTCAATCCTCACCCTAGACTTTGTGTGTTTCCTCTTTAAACTTCATTTTTTTGGTATCAGAGCTTCTAGGTGCTGGCCAACATCTGGGGGCAAGTTCTGAGGATTCCAGGAATGAGTGTCTAGGAAACAACCTTTGTCAAATCACTGGCATGGGGAACTTTCATCACAAATTCTAAAGACCTCTTGACTCAATGAGATTTATGAGTCAATTCAACAAGGGCTGAATCTAGCAAAGGCTGTGCTGGGATCTGTTGGTGGGAAGTGTTCTTCATTGAAGGTAACAGAACCCACTGCGATTCCTCTTTCTGGAACAAAAGAGGCTGAGGGGAGACAAAGACAATGAAGTCGATGGTCATTTGTCCTAACCTAGAAACCCAGATCTGGGCAATATCTTGATAGTACTTAATGCATCATTTTGGATGCATCGTTAATAGGCAGTCTTATTTTAAAAATCATGTGTTGTGTGCCTAAGATGTGTCCAACACACTGACAGGCCAGCAAATATGAAAGAGAGTTGTCCATAGCCTTGATCTACAGTATCACATGGTAAGGTAATGAGCTACCATTTTATGTAACGTATTCAGGGACTATAATGGAACTACATAGGTAAGAGAAATGACTTCTTTCTGGTGAGTCTCAGAAACTTTCACTGCAGAGGTGAATTGTACATGATGATGCTGCTTGACTGGGATGGAGAAGGTCACATGTTAAAAGATTGTTTCAGAAAGCTTTTCAAACTTGAAAACTGGGAAGCAAAGGGTGGTGGAGTGATTGCAGAGTTTGTAGGATTCACAGACAAGATAAGGGGGGGTCAGATGATGCGGCTGGAGAAGAAGACAGGGGCCACAGCACACAGGACACCAAATGCTGAGTCATAGCCAGAGCTGTGAAGTCACTTGGATTCTCTGTACTGTGGAAGTCCCTGTATAAGACAGTCCTTGCCTTAAATGGGGTCATAATGTGCAAGTGGTTGCCCAGACCTCTCCAACTTTGCTTTTTCTACCTCAGGACAGTTGGCCATCTGGCTGGTGAATACCTTTGCTGTGAGAAGAGCTGTAATAGAAGACATGTGACCTTTTAGGTGGAAATGTCAGGGGCACATAGAAGTCACCTCTGCAAACATCACCATCCTCCTCAGCAGGTCAAATGCATTTCTGGATCCATTTCTCAGTTCTTATTCAATCTATAGTTTCAGGAAATGAGACATATTTTATAACCCTGGGATTAAAATGAAGGCTTTAAAAGGGTAATAAAAATAATGAACCTGTTTTTGGCCTTTCCTAGTGAATTTTATTCAGCAGAACTCTTCAATATTGGATTCAGGATGGTAAAATGAACTCATTATGAAGTACCTTACTCAAGATTTACTTCCAATTCTTATCCTACTTTTAGAAGCATACATGGCTTTCAGTTAGAATAAATCCTAGCTGGGATTCTTGGGAATGTGGCAGTGAAGCCAGTCGGACTAAGCAATTTCCAGTGTGAGTGAGTGAGTGTTTGGAAAATTTTGCACATGTGTCGGTGAGTAAGTGGACATGTGAGTGGCTCACTGAGTAGAGACTTGGGAACAAGTGGCCAGAGCTCTCTTGGTCAAGCAACTGGTACCACAGCTGCTCTGCTTGGTCCTTAATGCTTCCTGGGGTGAAGAAGCCCAGCTTCCTGGGGTGATTTTTTAAAAAAATCAACAAAGCCCTTCTTGGGAAGAAACTGCCTACTGAGAGTGTCTGTTGGTTCCAGGTTCTGCCTCACCACTGCAGCGCCTGACTGGACACTGGCAGCAAGGTCTATGGAGGAAGCACAGTGAGGGAGCCCAGAGGCTGAGCCCCACTGGAGAAGATGGGAGCCCCACCATCTTGCCACCATCTTGAAAACTGGGCAGGAAGGTACTCTGGCTTGCTCACCACAGAATGACAGACCTGATCTAACCACTGATCAGCAGATTAACTACTCAGGGGATGATCTTGACCCAGAGAGAATATCCTGAAAGCACAAGCTCTGGAGGGACAACTGCTGAGTTTCATGTGCCCCATCCCCTACTCTGATACAGCCACGGGAAAAAGGGTATGACTAGAAAAGGACAAGAAAGACCCCTGAAGAGGTCAGCAGTGAGTCCTGGGCTGACCCAACCACCTCCCTCCATGCAATCCTCTGTAATTCAGAGCCATACAGCTGGAACATGACTGAGAGGGATGAACCCAGGTGGAGCTTGGAAGTCAACTGCACAAAGAGGACTCCATTCCAGGATAAGTCTGGCTGGGGTGACCTTGACAATACCTGGGGTAGAGATGATCTAGCACCTCCCCCCTGGAGGGGATCCCCTTGACCATACTAGAGTGGGAAGGAAGGACAGAAGCCCCGGCCCCCACCACTGGCTCCTCTTTTTCCCTGGGTCGGGCTCTGGGGAGATTGTGAATGAGGCCAAAGCTCTGCAGGAGACAGCAGAGGGGCAACTGCAAGGAACAACTACAGAAACTGCCACAAGAAGGCAGTTTCTTTTTGTTTGATTTTTAATTTTTGAATATTTTTTCTTTTTACATGAATGTGTATGTGAGGGTTCGATCTGCATCTCTCCAATCTCTCTTTTTCTTTTTTTGTTTTTTCCTTTCGTTTTTTGTTTTCTGTTTATTTGTGTACATGAAAGATTGAGTGTTCATCTTTCAGGGTTTTTTTTTTGTTCTTTTGCTTTTTTGCTCTTCTCCTTTTTTTAGTTTAGCGTGTATGAATACATGTGTGAGGGCTCGATTTGAATTCCTTTTTTTCTTTTT